TGTTATACTGTAAGTAAAATTAACTGCTGACAGTACTGTTTCGGCCTTTTGGGCCTCATCAGTGCAGTGCTGATGCTAGGATGGAGGTTAAGCTATGAAGCTACCCGAAATGATCCCACAAATATGATATCATCTAAGCCACGCCACAGTGCTCTAACTAGTAACTAGTGAGCATGCTACAGTCATGACTCATCCTAGAAGAATGCTCAATTTCAACATGAAAGTAAAGCTTTATATGTGAAAGAGCTTTATCTAACTGCAGACAGTGCTGTTTCGGCCTTCTGGCTCTTGTCATTGCAGTGCTGATGCTAGGATGAAGGTAAGATAAGCTATGAAGCAACCCCAATAATACCACAAATGTAAAATCATCTAGGCCATGCCAGAGTGCTCTAAACCGTTGTAACTAGCGAGCATGCACAAAGTCATCTGGACCCAAATCTTTTTATTCCCTGTAAGTACAGTCAAACCCAATGCTACAGACACCTACTTAATGCAGACACCTCATTAGTACAGAAAGTTTGCAGTGTCCCTGCGAAAACACCCTTGCATTTTCTGTAAATTTCACCCGCTTAATTCAGATGCATTACAGACACTTTTCTTAATATCAATGAGGTTTGACAGTATTGCTGTGCTGTGAAAAAAAAAGACACTTCTTTGTGGTTAATCATGATTGTCAAAGCAGTTTATCATGTATATACAAGGGACTTACAACTGCAGTTATTGAAGAGATACAGTTCTGATACAATTTCTAAAGTGCAACAGAACAATCAGGAAACAGTATTTTCAGGTAACATTGAAATTCGTTTGAAATAAAATTAAATGAAACTTCCCATTTGCATCTCGCTGTTACGATCAGTGACAAAAAGGAAATATTTTTTCTGTTGTCTAAAACATGATGCACACATATACAAAACCAATAGGGTGCAATTGAAAATGCCTAAACAACTTCAGAGGAAAAGTAAACATTTGAAAGTATTAGCACCCACCCTGGCTAGCTGTTCCTGTTAATATATCAATTGGCTACCCTCCGATAAAGATCAGATAAAGATATTGAAAAATGCAAAAAAGTTGATCTCTCAACTCCACATACCTTTCAGGAAGGCGCCGCTGCTCCTCACTGGTAAGGAATTTGGGCAACTGCATTAAAGGTAAATGAGCTGCAATGTGGGAAGACAAATTCTTGTTGACATCCCAGGGCAGTTTTATCATACACCCAAGGATGTCACGTGCCTTATAAGCATTTACAATTATGTCAACATCATTCTGAAACAAAACCGATGAAAATTTAGTTGGAACTCCAGCAACTTGCTCATTGGTGATCCTAGAGGTATGCAGGATGCGTGTAAAATATGAACCTAGTATATGGCCTCACTCAACATGAGCTCTCTGTAAATCAAGTGGATAGAGCGCCCACACGGTGTTTGGGAGGTCATAGGTTCAATCCCGTCAGGGACTCAGATTTTTTCTTTGCCCCACGCTCGTGACATGGTGATTATTAATTTTCATTTTCACATTTGTTTCACCGAGCTTAAAATTTACCATCTTTCATTTCTTTCACCACACAGTGCGACGTCGACATTGCTGATCCTAGCAGTATGCAGGACACGTGCCAAACATGAACCTAGTAAGTGGCCTTGCTTTTAATGAGTTCTCTGTAGCTCAAGTGGATAGAATGCCCGCCTGGTGTTTGGGAGGTCATAGGTTTGATTCCTGTTGGGGACTCATTTTTTTCTTCGCCCCACGCCTGTGACATGCTGATTATTTTCATTTTCATAAGATTAAAGTTCTTTTAATAAATTCAAAAACTACAATAACCACACTATGACTTACTTTTCCATGTAGAGTTCCCAAAATGCGTAAAAGCGACGTGATCTGAAGGGTATTTAAATGGGTACATGGAAGAAAGACCTCTTTCCAGCTGTCACTGAGGTACCACGATGTATTCCCAAACTTCTGATTCACAATGCTTATTCGTTTTCCAGGTGAACCTGATGATACAGGACTAAAACCAGGTGATTTGATGTGGGGTGATGGAGAACTCACTACGATAATGGAGCTGATGGGAAAGGTGTTGATGACATGAATTGAGCAGGTGTTGTGAATTGTGCATATGTGAATGAGGATTGTACAGGTGTTGATGTGAATTGTGTAGGTGTGGATCTGGATGGTGTTTGTGCTGGTGTAGACTATGATTGTACTGGCGTGGATAATGTTTGAGTGGGTGTTGATGAAGTTTGTGCTGTTGAAGATGTGGACTGTAGAATTGGAATGACAGGACCTCCAGCGTCAGATTCATTATCATCATCCTCCATTGTCTCTTCCTGATCCTCATGATTAGCAGCCTCCTTGCTATTCTTGAATGCTTCAAGAATAGCAAGGAGTTGCTCTAACCTTGGCTGTGACCTGCTATTGTTGATGTCTGTGTTGTAGTTCAATTTTAACCTCTGGTTTATTTTTTTCCAAACCAGCTCAATATTTTTGAAGCAGTTTAATTTTTGTT